CAATATACTCTTCAATCTTATCCAACAGTGCTCAGCATTTAGAACACTCACTTTAATCTATCCCGGGCTCTTTCTAACCATACCCCTTGGGATAGGTAATCTCAGTTGTCAACTTGATAAGATATACAATCACCTGGGTGATGGGTGTCCGGGCATGTCATTGGGGAATTAATCTTGATTTGGATAACTGAGATGGTAAAGCCTTCCTCCTATGAGTGGTACCCTTCCTGAGGCTGGGATCCTGAACTATATAAAAGAGCATCTCCATCCCTCCCCCTTCCCTGCTTCTTGGTGGTGGCTGCCCTGACTAACTGCTTCAAATGTCTAATGCCTTGCTCTGTGAGCCAAAAATAACACTTCTGTCCTAAAGTTGCTTTTGTCGTATTAGATCACAGTGATGGGAGTAACTAAAATCCTTCCTAAGCCCTCCCTCTCCCTGCTTCTGTCCCTACTGCCTATCCACTGAGTATTCTAAAGAAGCAGTATGTTACTGCCCATATGGGGTGTTGCTGTTGATATGGGGTACGCAATAAAAACAAAGCAAAATGACAGAACGGTGTTTGGAAAACAGTGAGATGAGGAAAGCAGGCACCGCAGCACAGTGTGGCCAAATGGACAAAGGAGAAAATACAACCTTGTGAGAGGTGTGGGCAAGGCTAACTCGCCAGTGATCATTCCCTATATCGCAACAGCACTTCACAGTTTGGAAAGAGTGTATAAATATGCTCCTGTAAGCCTAATTCTGTTTTATTCCATTTTTTTTTACCTGTATCTCAGGAATTCTGTCATTAGTAGTCATTTTCCTGTAATACTCATTAACAATTTGTAGGGTAATTAATTTTAATAGGAACTTATTGGAGAAAAATATAGTTGAAATTTAAGTTAGGATGGCGCACGCCTTTAATCCCAGCACTCGGGAGGCAGAGGCAGGCGGATCTCTGTGAGTTCGAGACCAGCCTGGTCTACAAGAGCTAGTTCCAGGACAGGCTCCAAAGCCACAGAGAAACCCTGTCTCGAAAAACCAAAAAAAAAAAAAAAAAAAAAAGAAAGAAAGAAATTTAAGTTAGGAATGCTAACCGACTCCTCCAGATCACGTGGGAATTACTAATTTCCTTCTTTGAACACTGCCACCCTTTCTTCTGTCAACAATTACTCAATTTAGTCACCGCTAGACTATCAGTTGTGGTTTGCTGCCATTCAACGGCTACTAGCAGAATAAGATTAAAAAAAAAAAACTTGAAGTAGGAGATTCAAACACTTTAGTGCAATAGTGGTATACTGTGCCAATACGAGATTTGAAAATTCACCATTTCCCACTCTGAGCCTGTTTACAGGTGTGGTGGTTGGCTGTGTGCCTCCAGGAACAGCCCAAATTTGTCACATTCCTTTAAAAAACCGAAAATGGACATTCCATTTTATTTTTTAAAGAATTTCTGATATCAAACTGGACAGGGAAAATCCCACAAGGCGTCAACACTACACAAAGAACCATAAGCAACTGAAACATGCTGAAAGCAGGAGAGGTGGCCTTCCCCAGGGAAAAACACACCACAGGTGTCCAGTGCCAAACAGTGAGCCCCGAACACATACACACCAGTAACATTTAAGGGCTGAGCAGATTATATTTAGGAAGCTATGTACATATGCATAATATACATAATTATATAAGTACACATATATACATGCAATAACAATTGATGAAAAAGAGGCCATGAATTTGAGGGAGAAAGGATATATAGGAGAGTTTGGAGAAAGGAAAGGGAATGGAGAAATATTGTAATTATATTACTCTCAACCTATCAATCAATAAATTAAACAGAAAAACTTAAGAACCTCATAGACAAGTACTGTGTCCACATCATTTCCACCCAATCCTACCTTTCCCCATTTTAAAACAAGCATAACTAATGTCAAGAAACACCATCAGGGGTGAACAAACAGCTCAGTGGTTAAGAGAACTGGTTGCTCTTCCAGAAGACCCAGATTCAATGTCCAGCTCCTACATTGCTGCTCACAACCACCTGAAGCTCCAGTTCTAAGGGATCTGGTGATCTCTTCCAGTCTCTGTGGGCACTGCACAATTGTGGCGCGCAGAAACTTACACATAAAATAAAATAATAATAATTTTAAAAATCAAAACACAGTCGGCAGCCAAAGTACAGCCCTATAGAGCAGATAAATTGGAAGCAGGGGATAGCTGAAGAAAATGAACACTGTAGTGACTAAGGTTTTAAAACAGAAGTAATGAAAGTAAGAACGCATGTGCACCAAAGCATGTGCGTACCTGCATACACACACACACACACACACACACACACACACACACACACGATTGACAAGGAGGCCTAAGCAGGTGAAAGGCAGGAGGCAGCACAGCAAGGAAGCTGACAGAGCATCTGGTTACTCTAACCACCTAAATTAACAGAAAACTCTGAAGAGAGAAAGAGCGGCTCGCCCGATGATCCAAAGTTAATAACTATAAAGCTGAAGCCCACAGGTCCTTTCCTCCATGCTGTCCTGGGAGAATGAGATTGTAACGCTGAGCAGAGCGATGTTTTTCAAGAATTTCAGTGTGAATCAGCTAAGGCCTGGCTAAGCAGACATGCACAGGAACAGTGACAACAGCTGTCTGCCAGCACGTGCCCTGAGGACTCACGGGAACATCTTACCCTGACAGAGAAGCCTGTGCGATAGATATGGCAGCTTCCATCTTACAAGCTGGGTTCAACACGTTAGTGACTTTGAGTCACAATTTCTCAGACTGGGCTCTTGTAGTACTTGCCATTTTAACCAACGGCTGGGATATCATGAAATCGGCAGCACCTTCTCTATGGGAAAAAAAAAACTGAGTTTGAACGTATGTACATGTTCTTTGGGTATGTAACTACTCTCTCAGAGACTGAACCCTGGTCCAAGAATTTCAGCCAGGAATAGAGGTTATAAAATGAAGAAGAAGCTAGTCACAGACATGGTAAATGCAGGAACCTGCTCCAGTTCTCCCTATCAGACTAGATATAAAATAAAATCCAAAGTCCCTTGAAGCTAGAAAGATGGTTCTGTGGCTAAAAGCTGCTCTTGTAAAGGACCCAAGTTTGGTTCCCAGCATCCAAGCAGGGCAGCTCACAACTACCTGTAGTTTCGGCTCCAGGGGCTTCGTTATCCTCTTCAGGCCTGTTGGGGCATCCACATGCAGGTGGCATGAGCATGTGTGCATGCATTCATGTGCATATATACATACTAAAAACAAAATATTTTTGGTTTTTTTTTTCATTTTTGCTACTGCCCTACTTAGATGGAATTTAAATGTTTCAGCTTCACCATTCCCTTTCTCTTCTAAGAGTTGCACATAAGCTGATAGGATCTGGTACAGCCTGGATTCGTGTATCTCCCATGGCGGTTAAAACCCAGGAAGCCTTTGATAAATTCTTCTTTACACACGTGAATGAACTAAGGAGCATTTACCTAAATCACAATGAACATAGCAACTGACATTATGTGCATCAGGGCCTATGTAGAACTGCTCCTTTGGAGTATCTATTTTATCCGAGGGCAAATCAGTGATGTGTATTATCGTGGTCTTTACCTTGGATACCAAGGCTCAGAAACATTTGGTAACTTGCTCATAGGAAGCTACTATTCTGGAATCCAAATTTGTCATGACTTCAGACATAATCTTCTTAACTATTGTCAGTGTTCCCACTCTCAATGTTAATAACAATACTGATATTCATCGCTTCTGCGTCTTTAGCATTTGCTATGTTACATACACACTGCATAATAATATACCTTAAGCCCCAATAACTCATTTACTACCCATTAGTGGACATTCTTTTCATTTCCTTTCCTTGATGACTATGGGTAAGTTATTTCACCTCTGAAGGGCTGGGGTTTTTTGTTTGTTTGTTTGTTTGTTTTGTTTTGTTTTTGCTGCTGCTTATAAAATATGGATAATCTGATTCCTAGGTCTCTGTGACAACTCTAGAGGCAAAGTCTTCTAGCACATTGTCTGTGCGTCCTGGATACAAAACACACACGACATGCCCCAAACTGAAACCCCCTCTGCCTGAATTCAACATAATTCATTCAACACTGCTTGGAGGGGCCATTCATTCGCAAGGGAGCATCTTAGAAACATCCTGTGTCCAACCTCTAACTGAAATGTCTCAGGATCTCTTTCAGCTCAAGCTGCAAACAACTCTCTTGAAGGATAACACCAATTTTCAAGAGAAAGGGATGGGGGTCTCAGAGGGGTACAGTCTCCAAAGGTCAGATATGGTTGGTGTGTGTCTCCAAAGGATAATGCCAATGGCTAGATGTTTGAAGTATATTTCCCTAATTAAAAATTAGCACCCTTCTTCCGAAGCTTGTGGTTTTTTAATTGATATAGATATATCTTTAATCTTAAGTGTACTTAGATGATTTCTTCACACGGGAATACACCCCTTTAACCCCACCCAAGACAAACATGGAACCTTTCCGGAATCCCAAAAGCTTCCCTCCTCAATCCCACAACCCAGACTGATTAAAAATCCACAGAGAAAGGACCTCTAAAATCAGAACTGAATGCAGAAAGTGAAGAACTTTCAACGCTAGGCAGCAAGAAGGTTGTCTATGAGAAAAATCATTGGGTGAGACAAACCCGACTACTGGCTTCTTCAAATGGGGCATGTTGAGTGAGTGCTTCTGTGCGCTTCTGTTGGTTTTGTTTCTCCGTCCTCACAAGAACTGCGATGTGATCCAGACTTAATCCTATTTTGCACGTGAGGAAACAAATCTGTTCAGGGTTTTGGAAGAGAAAGGCTCCAATCACAGAACAGCCGTCTGTGGGATCAGATCAGCAAGTTCATCCACGTGGCAGAGAAACCTGGGAGGACCAGGCGTCAGGTTACCAGGCAGCACTGCGACAGCTGGTATAAAAGCCCTGAGTAGCTCTCCTAGAACAGCAGCGATCAACCTGCCGCGGGCGCTTTGAATTTCTCAAAGTCTCTCGGGTTGGAAAATCATCTGACTACGAAAACCAGGTATAGAATGGGAACCCAATTCGGTCCAGGCTGTGAGACCTGGATGGCCTGAAGCTCGTTGAAAGGAGTCACTGTTTCTGGTGAGTGTGTGTGTGTGTGTGTGTGTGTGTGTGTGTGTGTTTTCTCGCTGACTGGACTGATATTAGACTTCAGAGGTTTCAGGGAACAGATGCACAAATGCACAAAGCAAAGCGCCTTTTGGCACTGAGGTCAGAGGTTCAAGTTAAAAGACAAAGGTAGCAGGACCAGTAAGTGAGGATGGAGAAGACTACAGCCGGCTGCAAATTACATGACAGCCGACTGGAGACAGGGCGGGTGATAAACGATTGTTTCTCAGTCTCTGAAAACAATTTGCAATGGGGTGAGGGATTTTGCCATGTAAGGATCTGGACAGGACGAAGTGGAATAAAGAGGACTGAAATTCCCACTTTCTTTCAGGCTGCCTCTGACAGGTGTGCATTTGTATGTAGCAAGCAGGCTCAGAGGATCACCCAGTTCCAGGACCAGCGGCCAGATGTGGTGTCTGGAACGGCTCCTGAGGAACCGAGACGGGTTTCTCCCCGGGCTAAGGCGCCGAACCAAAGCGCGCTCGTCCACTGCATGCGTGAACGTGCTCACTCCTGACCGCATCCCAGAGTTCTGCATCCCACCGAGACTGGAGCCTAACACAGCTTGGGCAGCGCTGCGCGATGCCTGGGCTGCAGACGCGGAGATGGACGACCACGCTGGTAGCACTGACTGGGACCCGCGCTCACAGGCCGCCCTCTCGCTGTCACATCTGCCCCGCGCACGCACCGCCTACGGCTTCTGCGCGCTGCTCGAGAGCCCGCACACGCGCAGAAAGGAGTCGCTCTTCCTCGGCCACCCAGACGCCCCAGTCCCCAGGCTCGGACTTCGCCACCGAGAGCACACCTACGCAAGTCCGCGCCAAGTCCCGGACACCCTGTACCCCGCGCCGCATAAGCCAGATGCCGCCCGGGTCCTGGCGCCCTCTCCTGTTCCCAGCAGACGCCGCCTCCTGCGCGCCACAGATAGACTGCTGAGGCTCGCGCTGTGGGCCCCTGGAGGTCGGACCGGCTCGCGCTCCCCGTCCTCCGGTGACAAGCTCGAACGCGCTGCCTCCTGCGCGCCCCCGGTCCCCGCGAGCCCACTCCCCGAGCGCCTGCAAGCCGAGGCCAGCGTGGCTCTGGGCCGCGGGGATTGCACGCTACGCCTGGCCGCCGAGTACTGTCCGCGCAGCGCGTGTCTCCGCCTCCGCCTGTTGCGCGCAGAGGGCCCGGCCGCCGCGCTCGAACCCCGCGCCCTGGGCTGCCGCCTCAGCCTGGTGCTGCGGCCGTCGGGCCAGCAGCGCGCCAGCGTTCTCCGGCGCAGCCGCAAGGCCGCCCTGGACCAGGACTGCTGCTTTGATGGGCTCTCGGAGGAGCAGCTGCGCCGCCTGGCCGTGCGCATCAAGGCTGAGAGCAAGGGCCGCGGGCTGGAGCGTGGACGACCGCTGGGCCAGGGCGAGCTGCTGTTGGGCTCGCTACTGCTGCTCTGAGCCCGGATTCCGTGGGAGCAAGGACACTGAGGGTCTCTTGGTCTTAAGATGCACCATATTCTTGGACCTGGGACACTTGCAGACAGTCATAGCTCTTGGTCCTAAAACACCCACAATCTCTTAGGTCTTGAACCCACCCTCAAGGTCACTTGGGTTTGAGACACTCCCAACTCTTGGACCCTGAGAGTTGCCTTATCCTGCCACACTCACAGCCTCTTGGCTCTTGGACATTAACAGCCATTTGTACAAAATAAACATGTTTTCATTTTTCTAATCAGAGCTTTCTTTCAAGCCAGTCCTGGCAGAAACGACCCTGGGTTATCACAGTAACAGGTGTTACTTCTTTTTGTGTGGGCAGACTCCTTGGAATTTCTGTTGAGCAATGTGGTAGTGCTAGGCAGCTGCTATCCCACTGTAGACGGCAATTCTATTTCATGTGTATCACACACTCAGACTGGAAGATCGTTAATGTCAGGCAGCATTAGACCAGCTTCGTTTTAAAAGTTCGTTCATTTCGTGGCTTCTTTGGGGATTTAGAGCATCGGTTACTTATGAAGCATTAAGATGTTGCATAGGAAAGGCCCAGGGTGTAGGAAGACTGCCGAGTGGGGGAAAGGAGCTGGCGGCTGTGCTTCATCACCTGGATTTGAATCTAGTGAGGATTCTGAGACCTGCATGATAAAGAGGGGAAAGCCCCACGGGCCTTCCTCTGGCATGACCTCACCCCAACACACATAAATAGCGTAATTAAATCATTTTTAATAAAAGGCCAGGAGGAAATGACATCAAGCAGGGACTCTGCTCATATCCTAAGCTCCATCCTGCTGGGAATCCAATAAAGAAGTGAAAATCATTTTAATATTTAAGTAACAGTAATAATAGATTTACAAGTTTTAAGTTGTTTCATTTGGAGTGCAGCCTTAGATAGGGAGCACTGATGTCCCCCTGGTGCAGATGAGGACAGAATAAAGAGAAGTCTGGGTCTGAATGTAGGGCATCAGTATGTCATTCATTAAAATGATTGTCTGGAAATTGGGGTGTGTTGGTCCAGTGCTTGCCTGGCACGCACAAAGCCCTGGTTCTATCTGCAGGACTGCACAAACCTTAGGTCCTATTACCTCGTACTTGTAATCTCAATACTGGGAGGTGGAAGCCAATGGACGAGAAGTTCAAGACCATCTCAGCTACACAGGGAGTTAAAAGCCAGCATAAGCTACATGAGACCCAGCCTAAAAATAAATAAATACATGCTCACCCTTTGAAAGTAATGGGATTTTGTTACTTGTCTGAAAATGGCCCCGAGTTTGAAATCATATTCCTCACTTTCATCAGGGAAAGCAGATTGGAAATAGTGATGTATGAATGAATGCTAATGACGGCATCCTGAGACGGAGGAGAAAGCTAGCCCACCTCGGATCCACAGGGTCCAGAACCCCATCCACTAACACAGGTCGAGCTAACCTGCCCGGACCAGCAGTCTGGAGAGCACAAAGGACAGCGTGTTCTGACTCCCGATAAGCTTTCCTGTGTCTTGAGGATGACTTTCTTCATCGCTTCTACTCACTATCAAGCTGGTTTATTCCTTTTCGTGTGCGTGTAGATGGAAAACACATTCTAAGCAAGGGTAGAAGGTTGTATATTAAAATATACAACACAGCGTAAACTGTGGCTACATGATCAAACTAGACTTAGAAAAGGTTCCGGTTGCCACTAGACTTGGCAGTTTTAACCATGGGTGCCTGTGAAGAATGCAATTTAGAATACCGTTTCCGTTTCTGACGCATCTCAAACTAAATACAGATGACTGTGGTGAGGATGTTGTTGTGGGCTTCTGTTTTCTTTGGACCAGTAGTTGAGGTATAGCCAGTCCTTTTTCTAGATAGCGCTGCAGTCTCTGTCCTTACTAGATATTAAGCATGTCACTTTATTAGGCAATGTCCCCCAAAAGGTGAATTAAAATATTTGAGGGTTCTAAACTCTCCAAGATATCCTGGTGGGTACTTCTCAATTAGAATCTCCATCAATTAAAATTATGGGTGACCTAAAGTCCAAGACTGTATTCGGAAGGATTTCTAAAAGACTGAACTATAATAAAAATAACTGAACGATGAAATTCCAGTTTGAAAAGAACATCATTGTCATTTTGAGCAGCTATGCAATGTCTTAAGGGTGGGCCAGGAGGGCAAGTGTTAGATTGCTTCAAGTCACATTACTGTAAGAGCTAAAACCAGAACTAATTCTTTTGTGTTTTACTAGTGAACTCCCACACCACTGATTCCAAAGAGAAACATTTTGCATACATTTATTTCACATCTTTAAATGAATTTGAATTACATTTAACAATTCATGTTTGTAATGTATATTTTTGGCATACCATCAATCGTTTCTGGGGGCAAAGTTAAATTTGGTTTGTACTTGCTGCCCTCTAGTGGACTGCTTCAGGGTTTGTTTGTGCCTCTCACCTTGTTAGACCATCACAGGTAATCCAAAATTCTGTTTTCTTTTTCTTTTTTAAATAGTGTCTCCTACAGTCCGGTCTGGATATCTCGGACGAGTTATGTAGTCAAAAATGACTTGGAACTCCTGATTCTCCCTTCTCCGCCTTCCGAATGCTGGGATTATGGGCATCTGTCTCCACAATTGGCTCAGAACCAGATGTTGTTGAAGTTGTTTATTAATTTCAGATTGTAGTAAAAAAAAATAAAAAGTAACTATAAGTGATGGTGTAAAGTGGCTTTAAATGAGTGAGGGAAATAATGTGAGCTGCTGCTCCAACCTCCTGCCTCTGTGATTCCCCACCGTGATGTACCGCACCATGTAGCTAGGAGTCCCTCACTCCCTCCCTCCCTTCCTCCGTCCTCCCTCCCTCCCTCCTTCCTTGCTTCCTTTGGTCGTTCCTCCCTTCTGTTGTTTTGGTCAGGTATTCAGTAACAAAAATGAGAAAAAAAAGGAACTAATACATCCACTAATGGCCCCCAAAGCCAGTTTGAGCAGAGCGTGGTCTTCTTTCAAATGATGCCATGGTTGTTATAGGCCCATAATAAATTCATAGCTAATAAAATTTCACTATGTCCGTGCCAAAAAATTATAAAAGCTGGGTCTATAAGTATAGTAGGAGATTTTCGTTTAATTTCCTGTTTGTTTTATGTTGACTTTACAAGTCTGGGGGCAGAAGATCCTCTTTATAGACCAGGATTCAACTGGGAATACTTCCAACTAGTGACAAGGTACTAGCACACTCACTGGGAAAGTGGTACCTTGCAATGGATCACCTAGCTGACATGGAGACATTGCATCCATACTCATGAAGTTCACAATCGAATTCTCAAAAGCACTCATGTTTTCAGTAAGTTCAATCTCTTGCATTTGGACCCATTCATAGCTACCCTTGGTAGAATGTGGCTATTCAGATCCTGTGGACTCTCGGTTGCATATGTCAGGACACACTTAGACAGCTCTTCATCTTCTCCACTCCTCTAGCTTTAAGGTCGTGGAGATCACCTACATGCCACCTTTTTCTTGTATTTCAAAAGTCTTACCCAGATCTAGTGTTCTCGTCCAAGCCCTAGGAATCACTGTGCATTGACAGAGTGAAGCGTAAGAGAAAAATCAGTCCCAAGTCATCTTCTGGTCAGGTTCAAATCATGCCGAAGCTCATATTTTGGGGGTTGAATGCATTGTCTTTGCAAAATGAAGTAACAAAATAGTGGTTTCTAAAATTTTACTCAACAAAATCATTTAAACTAGCATATTACTTTGTTGTCTAGAAGGCTTTCTTGGAGTATATTAAGACATTTAAACCATGGAGGCAGGATTGTGCTTTATCCCATGCAGCTATAGGTACCTAGAGCACCACAAGAAACATGAGCACTCCTTTTTCCCACCCCACTCTCTAAAATTTTCCCATGATTTTTACATGTGTATGTGTACGTGTCTGCATGTCTGTATGTGCACCACATATATGCAACTGCTCACAGAGGCCAGAAGAGGGCGCAAGATCCCCTGGAGCTGGAGTTACAGGTGGTTGTGAGCAGCTTGATGTGAGTGCTGGACACTGAACCTGAATCCTCTTCAAGATGATGATGATCCTAGTCTCCCTCCTCCTCTTACCGCCTATCTCCAAACCCAAGAAGCTGCTTGTCTGCTTCCTATTACTGTAAATGGCTGCACTGATGGGATTTTATGTGAGCGGAAAAGCAGAGTATTCCTTTTGACAGGGGTGGCTCCTGCTACCCAGGTTGCTGTGCAGCGCGTCCATGCCATTTCCCACATCAGTGGTCTGGTCTTTGATACTGCTGAAGATGACCATTGAATGGCAATGCCAAGGTTCTTTGTTGCATGCAACCTGTTTGAGCTGTTCTCTAGTTCTCTGGCTTTGCCATTTCTCTCACCCTCTCTTTCTCACTGTCCTCCAGTCTCAGATTTTAATTGAGCACTTACATGACTATTTTCTCTTCCCTCTTACATATCAATTACATTTATAATTTTTCAACTATGTTCATAATTCTTCTAGGAGTTTCTCTAGTCTATGTGTGTATGTAGTATATATATATACTCTGATATATGTAATAATTATATACATGTAATAGATGTAATAATTATAACTAAATATAACCCACGTTTTTCTGAGACAGACTCTCACAGTCTCACTAGCCCAGACTGACTTCAAACTTACCATGCAGCCTAGGATAACCTTAACTCCCTGATTCTTCTGCCTCTGTCTTCCTTGTGCTTGGACTACTGCCACGCGTCATGAAGCAGACGAAATCCACTTGCAATTAACATTACACTGATCCATGATGCCAACCTAAGTGACAGGGAAGAGAATCCCAAAAGGGTAATATTTATTTGGGAATAGCAGAGCAATGGTAACACGTGTGCAAACATATGACAAAACGTGGGCAACACCGAGGAAGCTGAGGCAAGAGGAAGTTTTTAAAGGTGAAATCGGAAATATCACATGCGATGTTTCAAAACAACACCTTGGCTACAGGGATCCATAGCAAGAGTGGCAGTAGTCCAATTTAAGCAGATAAGCGCTGGGCAATGTCTTCATAGAAGGTCTGGTGACCCACGGATAAGGTTATGGTTCTGACAGTCTTCTGTGAATTCAATATTTTGTATGTCTTCGTAGAAGGTCTGATGACTCACATATAAGGTCACGCATGGTTCTGTCA